ACACACACACACACACACACACACACACACACACACACACACACACAATAAGGCTCTGCCACTGTTAATGTATGAATGATTGTTTTAAAGAGCTATAATTCTTTTGTAATTTTTTAATAAATGCTTGTACAAATATAGAAATCTATGATAATGTATGTCAAACTGATGTAACAGAAACAGTAGCTATTTCTGTTAAAAAGAGATAAATACTTCATTTTTCATTTGTTACTTCAGTAGTTCCAAGGTTTTAAGATGTTCCCCACCTCTCCTCCTTTATCAAAGGGTGCAATTATATACCAGCTGCAAATGAGTAACAATTACTGAAGCAACACTTACCTTTTGGTTGAAAGGAACTGTCACCCATCAAGTTGCAGATCTGACTTTCTACAAGTTGTCACCTAGGTATTGACATATGACATCAGTCAATTTTATGAGTCATTTTAATTGCAAACATTGATATAAAACTTAGAATTAAGAAATTCTTGATGGGGCTGGAGAAATGGCTCTGCAATTAAGAGCACTGGCTGGTCTTCGAAAGGTCCTAGGTTCAATTCCCAGCATCCATGTGGCAGCTCACAACTGTTTCTAATCTGACACCTTCATACAGATATACATGCAATACACATCAAATAAAAATAAACAAATTTTAAAAAAGTTTAAAAAAAAGAAAATTTTTGATGGAGTAATCAGGAAGATAACAAAATGGGTAAGATTTGTTGAGCAAACAAGAAGACTGAATCCCCAATACCTCAAGAAGCCAGGCTTGGAAGTAAGTACCTGTATGTCAGTGTTGGGGGACAAAGACAATATATCCCAGTAGCTTGCTAGCCAGGCACTCTTAGCCAAAACAGCTTCAGGCTCAGTGAGACACAGTGTGTATGAAGGATATAAAGCAGAATAACAGAACAGGAAGCCCAGTGTCTTTCTCTGACCTCTGCCCAGACACACAGATGCATGTACCTGCACTCACACACCAAAACAATCACATAAAAGAAGAAATTATTGGATCAAATTTAAATACTTAAACTTACCATGTGACACAAAAAGCAGCAAGATGTATCTCAGTTGGCCTTGCTGGAAAATAAAGATATCAACCATTAGGGCAGATTCCATTAATGTATGTACATTCAATTTACCCTCTTATAAAAAAAAATCTGTTTAAGTTGGATATGTTTGTTATACATATAATTTATTTAAAATAATTTCTGAATAATTCCAAATTTCATAAATAAAATAGTGATTATATAAATTACTTAGTATTTCAATAAATATAATAAATTAGTAAATTTAAAAAATAATTATTTGTGACAAGAATGTGAAACATATCTGTAATCCAGGTACTTAGGAGCCCAGGGCAAGAGAATCACAGGTTTGATACCTAGACTACACAGTGAGAGACTGTCTCAAATAAACACACACACATACAACAAATATATATATAAACACATATACTATACATACATATGTTATGTGTCTGTTTAATATTTAAAATTCATATATATTTTAAATATGTATATATGATATATATTTGTTGTGAGTTTATATATAAATAGCCTTTCATAAAAAGAAATAATTTCCCCATAATGCACTGTTTTAGTAATATCTCTTCCCAAATGCTAAATGATACAATCTGTTACCTAGTCACACTGAAAAATATAATTATTTCTGTAGTAAGACACAATTTTAAATGTATTTTAGCTTATTATTTTTCTGATTTTATCAACTAACTAAAAAGAAAGCTTAATTAATCAGAGTAATTCATTCAAAATATAGATATTCCTGGTCAGCTAAGTGGAAGGTAACATGTTCAGTTTTAGGTGAAAATAAAGGTGCGTTAAGAACTTTACAAATAACCACACTTATAACTCATTGATCTTCAAGAAAAAAGTTAAAATACACATTACCAAAAATTCACAATTAGCCAGGCATGATGGCACATGCTTATAATCTTAGCATTGAGGAGGCTGAGGCAAAAAGAAAATCAAATTCAAGGACACCCTGATTACAGAGTAAATTCCAACTAGCTTGGACTTCAAACATTTCAAGATCTGTTTGTTTCATAAAACCAAAACCAAACAAACAATTGAATGGTTATTTAACTTCTTTAACTCAATTTATTTATTAGTTCTTAAAAACAAGATTTGTCTTTCTGTCCTGGAACTAGTCCTATAGATCAGGCTTCAAACTCACAGAGACCCATCTACCTGTATCTAAGTGCCAGAATTAAAGGTGTGCACCACCATCCTAGCTCTGACTCAATTATTTAAATAGAAACAGTTTGCCCCTAATTTCCAGTGTAATTCTCACGATAATTCTTATTTAACATAAGAACCATAAGAACCTACCAGTACCAATTTTATGAATCACAATTATACTATCAAACTCAAATGCTTCTGTTAAGTGATCACATGAATTTTGTGAAAAATGCTTCACAATTTTCCCGTTAATATATTTCAACAAATAACTAAATCACCTGGAAGAGAAACACACTATCCAGCAAAGGCGTCAGCTTGGATTTCACAGCTCCAAAAGTTATCTTGGCTCTTCAAGCTGCTTCTAAAATAGCCAAAAAGAGAGAACTCTACTTTAGCTGCGGTCAGGCACAGATTTTATGCTCATGTTGATTACAGTGTTTCCATTAGAATAATGAATTCCAAGTAACTGACTTAGTGAAGCTCCTTCAGTGGCCATCAAGGTGGACAATGGCTTGGTACATAAAGGGGCTTGGAGCAAGCCTGAAGACTTGAACTTGATCCCCGGAACCCACATGACCAAAGAAAAGTTGTCTTTCTCTTCACATGTGGGCACAGCCAGACACATACACATGCACACAGAATAGAGAAAATAAATAAAATCTAAAAAAAGTTAAGACTTCAAAATACAATCTAACCTTTTGTGGATTAAAACAATTATTTTATTTTATTAAATGTTTTAGCTTTTATGTAAATAAGATTATAAACTATGCCTTGAAAGGCTTTTTTGGTTAAAAAAAAAATCAATGGAAAATGTGAATACATGTAATCACTTATTAATGTTTGGCACTTTATAAAATTCTGGCCTGGAGAGATAGGTTAGGTGTAGAATGCTGGCCTACCATGCAGGAGGACCTGGATTCAATCTCAAATAATGAAAGAAAAAATTTGAGTTATAAAAATTTTCTTTATTGCAGATGAGAGTGAAGCTTCAGGATAGAATGCACACTTAGCATATTCAAGATCTTGTGTTTGATCTATATCCTTCTTTCCTTTCAGCTTTTAACAGTAAGATAAACTTTGAAGTCAGTACACATCAATATAGTTTTAGACCACCAAGATACCTCAGTGAGTACAGTACTTGCTATGTAATCCTGGCAACCTGAGTTAAAACCTAGAACTCGAGGTAGAGAAAATTAACTCTACAAAGTTGTCCTCTGATCCCTACACGCATGTACACATCATACACACAAATACACTAATAACAAATGAAATAAAAATATCACAGTTTTAATTTTTTAAGTAAACCAAAACCACCAAACGTCATTTTTAAAAAATTATATATTTGGGGGGGGTCTTAGCAGTGACAAGCAAACAGAAGAGAGGAGACGTTGGGACTGTCGTGACAGAATACACATATATTACAATTATGTACTGTAACAATAGTTGAGAATGACAGTAAGCAACTCTTACTGACTTGTATACTTCATGGGTAAGCTTTTCAATCACTATTTAGAATGTTCTACGTATTATTTTTTAAAAGCTTGCTATGAATGAAACAGCATCCCATGTTATGTGCCAG